TCCCATTTGCCTCAGTTTCTTCATCTGTAAAATGAGCTGGAGAAGGAAATAGCAAGTCACTTCAGTGCTTTTGCCAAGAAAACCCCAAACAGGGTCATGAAGAATTAGACATGACTGAACAACACCTGATAAGGCAGTGTTTTCTAGGTTTCTTGTGATAATATTATGCATCATCAGGAGTGGCCTGTGATTGGACAACTTGATATGCCTTGGCTGAGATGCTTCATGCCATAGGGAGATACCACACTTTCTGACTGGCCTCCATGTACCAAGGAGTCACCCATCATTATTGTTATTGTTTGGTTGTTGACTTGCGTCACACTCTTTGTGACCCCTGTGGAATGGTCCATGGGGTTTTCTTGGCAAAGATACTGGAATGGTTTGCCATTCCCTGTCCAGCTCACTTTACAGGCAAGGAAACTGAGGCAAACAGGGTGACGTGACTTACCCAAGGTCACACAGCTATTAAGTTTCTGAGGCCAGATTTGAACTCATGAAGAAAAGTCTTCCTGATTCCGAGCCTGGTGCTCTCTCCAATGCACCACCTAGCTGCCCTACTAATAATAGCACCTACCTCCAATGAGAATATTTGTAAAGTGCTTTGCAAACCTTAAAGAGCTGTATGAATGCTGTTATTATTATTTCCTCTGTGGGCCTCAGTTTCCTCATCTGCAAAATGTGAATTAGACTAAAAGACCTCCAAGATCCCTTCCAGTTCCAGATCTTTGATCCTATGGGCCTCATATTTGCTTCCTTGGAGCATGGGACTGAAGGACTAGCTCAGTGCAAAGGAAAGATTGGAGCCAGAGCACCAAATTGGAATTGTGGTCCTGCTACTTGCTACCAGTGTGACCCTGAGAAAATCACTTTATTTCGTCTGTAAAATGGCAGGGTTGAAGCAGATGGGTCTTTCTAGCTAATCCTTATGATACTGTTTATGAAGACCTACCCATAGCAGGAAGAATCTGACTCCTGAAGCCAAGTGTATTGAAAAGATACACTTTTTTGTAGGTCAGCACTTACTCAGAGCCCTAGCTCTAGAGCCACCACCAGTATGCTTGCTTTGATGAGCCAAGCAGTTGACATTTGTTCAAAACAGGACATTTAATCAAACAGTCAGGCTAACAAAGTGACAAGATCCTTGCTCTCCCTTCAGCCCATGCACACCAAGGTAGGGGACATGCTCCCACTGCTTACCATACCATTAACAGGACATATGTGGAGAGGAGTATGGATAGAACAAATTTCATTGGGAGAGGGGAAAAAAAAAGACTGGAAGATGTGAGTTCAGTTCCTGGTTTAGCCACTGAATAGCTGTATAACCACAGGCAAGTCAGTTAACCCTTCTGAGTCTTGGTTTTCTCATCTGTAAAATAAGGACAGTTGGATTAAACTGTCTCTGAAGTCCCTTCCAGCTAGTTCCAACAATCGCTGGCTCTGATTCTGTTCTGCAGTCTTTCATCATCCCCCAGAACATTTTATATTCATTCCTTGTTCCATGACTTTGTGCCATTTTCTGAGCCCAATCATTTGAAATACCTTTTCCTCTGTCCATTGGCTCATGTATCTATATCACGTCCATATCATGTTGTTGTCCACTCTTGTCTGACTCTTTGTGACCCCCTTTGGGATTTTCTTGGCAGAGATACTGAAATGGTTTAGCTATTTCCTTCTCCAGCTTATTGTACAGGTGAGGAAAATGAGGCAAACAGGATTAAGTGATTTGCCCAGAGTCACGCAGCTTGCAAGTATCTGAGGTCGGATTTGAACTCAGGTCCTCCTGACTCCAGGCCTGGTACTCTATGGACTTCACCACCTAGCTGCCATCCTTCCAGGCCCCGATTAAGTTCTACCTCCTTCTTATCACATCTAGACCATGGTATTTTTCTTCCTCTTCTGAATTCCTCCTGCAAATATTATCACTGTATTCATCTTGGCACTTGATTGTACTTTGTATTGTATTGTTCTTTTAAATGTTTCATTTTTATATGTTGGTGACTTCCCTCTTGACTCCCAAAGCTTCTTTGGGAAAGGGATTGTATTGTATACTTCCTTTTTTACATATCCCATAGCTCCTTGCACAGTGCTAACAGATAATAAATAGGTGCCCCATATATCATTTCTTGAATATATCTATAAAGAGGATGGGGGCACCCCTTGCTCTCTTTGGGAACTATGCCTTCCAGAAGTCTGTGTGGAGTCCAGTAGCTTAGAGTTTGAAGGGAGGGTGGGAATCTTGAAGCAGAGTAAGATATAGGCTAAAGTCTGGATGGTAGACCTGGAAAGGGAGACTGGGACAAGGCCCCTGGGACCTATGGGAAAGAAATGGTGGCCAGGACTGGGCCCTGATGCCCTAGTCATCTGAGAGCTGTGCTGAGAAGCAACAGTGCTCTCTGCAAAATTCCCCATTTCTTGTGTCCCATGTCATGAGTGATCTGACTTTCACTGATATTCAGAGAAACCCAGCTCAACCAATACTACTGCTGCTATAGCCTAACGTTCCTAACATTGATATATATCCTGCTCTTGTTTTGTGGAGGTGGTAAGACAAGCCCTACCAGGCCAAACTGGATCCAAGACCAGTTATTAGGAGATACAGGACATAACTGGAATTCTATGGTGAGAGTGTTTGCTGCTTGATAGAGCTACCTTTTCTTTCCTTTGCATTCCTTTTATTTTTTATTTTATTTTATTTTTTAGGCAATTGGGATTAAGTGACTTGCCCAGAGTCACACAGCTAGTAAGTGTCAAGTGTTTGGTCTGAGGCTGGATTTGAACTCAGGTCCTCCTGACTTCAGGGCCGGTGCTCTTTCCACTACGCCACCTAGCTGCCCCGTTTGCGTTCCTTTTAAAGCGAGGGTCCTTAGTTTTGCTATGATAATCACATGCTTCACTGTAGCATGGTCATGGCATGGCATGCGGCATGGAAGATTTAATGGAAATGGGGGCTCATGAGCTATAGAGTGAGATAGACGATTACTCATTGATTGCGTAGGAGTAGCCAAAACGGGGCTGATTTTGGGTCCCCAGATTCTATAAGTGGAGTAAATCAATAAATTTAAACAAGTGTGAATTGTGTAGGTGTGCGGAGAGATTGCTGAAGGAGTTACTGGTTTAAATAGAATGACCAAAAGAGGGTGAGTTCAATCTGAGTGAGTTTTTTGAAATATTTAAGTTTTGAGAAGGGTTTTGAGAAAGAAAAATAGAAATAATAATAACAACAACAATTATATAATGCTTATGTGCCAGGCACTGTATGAAGAGCTTTATAAATATTATCTTATTTGATACTCACGACAACCCTGGCAAGTAGGTGCTATTATTATCCCCATTTTACAGATAAGGAAACTGAGGCAAATAGAGGTTACATGACTTGCCTAGGACTGCACAGGTAGGAAGTGTCAGAGGCTAAATTTGAACTCAGGTCTTCTTGACTCCTGGCCTGCTGCTCTAACCACTGCCCCACCTTGTTGGGTATAATTAGGAAGTCTCTATAAAATGACTGCTTGACTTCTTTCCCTTGATCCCCTCCCCACTTGTGACCCTGCCAATCTCTTCTTCCCTCTCCCCTCAAAATACTCTTCCCCTCCTCGCCTCTGCAATTTTAATCTATTTCTGGAGATACTTTGGAACAATACAGTTTTCGTAGCCCCTCTTCCTTTTTCTAGAGATCCATTTTTGGTTCAAGAGACCTCTTGGGTCATCCATGCCCAGGACACATTGGAGGGTATGAGTGTACTTCTCCCTCATGCCAAATTCCCTTTCGCCCTTTGCAGAGATATTCCAATCTCTTTGTTGAAACTGGGTGAGGGCAAGGCCTAGGTTTGTGGTCCCTGAAGCATACTAACTCTTTCTGTTTCCCAAAATGTGTCAGCTTTTTGCTCCCCGGTATCTCTGAGACCAGAGCCCTGGGAAAGAGAAGAACTGAAAATGGGGGCCTCGTTTCCTAGGTCTGGCTTCCCCAAAGGCTGCCACTCTTGTTCCTCTACTTTTCTGGGCACCTGGCCAACGTGTGGGTGCTAGGCATGAACAAAGCTGGGGGCCCCCACCCTTGTTCGCTGGCCAGTTGCTTCACAGTGGCAGTGATTGCATCATCCCCAAATGACCCCATTGAAGTCACCCACCCCCTCACCCTTCTTGCCCTCAGGCTTTTAAACAACTTTTAAACTAGTCTACTTTTCATCCAGAGATGTGGCAAGTTTCAGTTTCTTGGAGCCATAAAGCTCCACCTGGGATCCCCTTATCCAGCTTTCTGCCACCACAGACCTTTAACCCATTTGTCTCATTCAGTAGGCTCTGTGGGGGAAGGAGCTAGATCTATCATCAGAGAACCAGAAAGGGGTTGTTGAGGGAGGCTCGGTCATCTTTGCCTTTGTTAAATTACTAATCGGGATAGTCTCTGGGCTAATTAGCCCCTCTGAGCTCCATTGACCTCGAAGGAGAGCTAGTCTGGGACAGCCTCTCACTCCTGCCAGCAAATCAGAGCATCATCTTTCCCCTGGTTCTTTAGATAGCCCTTGCAGAGTCCAAGACTCGGATTTAGAAGAGGTCTCAGCATCATAATCGCCGCTGTGCTTGAAGAACAAGTCACCCTCTCTTCAAAATCACTAACAAGTGGTCATTCAACCTCTCCTGGAAAACCTGTAGTGATGGGAAAATCCCTTCCTCCTCGATGGATTTAAGAGAGATGTGTTATCTGTCTTCAAGCACCTGAAAGGCTGTCATATAGGAGAGGAATGAGATTTGCCCTGTTTGGGCTCACTGCAATGGGAAGAAGCTGAAGAAAGGTCAGTTTCACCTCCATTTAAGGAAAATTTTTTTTTTTTTAAATTAGGCAATTGGTGCTAAATGACTTGTCCAGGGTCACACAGCTAATAAGTGTGTGAGGCCAAATTTGACCTCAGGTCTTCTTGACTCCAGGCCTGGTGCTCTATCTATCCCCTGTACTACCTAGCTGCCCCTGAACTCTATTATTTTACAGGTGAGGAAACTGAGGCCCAGAGAGGTTGAGTGTTCTGCCCAGGGTCACACAGCTAGTAAGTATCAGAGGCAGGATTTGAACTCAGGTCCTCCTGACTTTTCCTCCATAGTTCTATCTACTATACCATAATGTTTCTCATTCTTGAATGTATATTGTGCATGGCTGATGACAATGTCTAAGCAAATGAGGGATGTAGTTAAGAAACATGTCCGTTTCAACACCATATCAAACCTTTACAGAAATCACTGGTCAAGTAGCTTCCACAGAGCCATCGTTTTTTCCTGGGGTGTTCAAGTCAGGATAAGAGAATCTCTCCAAAGGCGATCAGGAACATCCATCCCTAGGATGTCAGCTCATGGGACTTAGGCCACTGACTGTTGCTTCCTACCCCAAAAGAAAAGTATTAATAAGGTAAGTTTCCCCACCACCTCCTTTCCTCCTTCCACTGTTTACCGTAGACAATTATGTTGGGAGTATCCCTACTCCTGTCCTAGGGGCTCCAGAAACCCCACCAGACTATCTCTAAAGGTTTTGTTTCCTTCAAAATACTATCAAGGCAAATACATCACATAAATGCATATAGGGCTTAAAGGTTTGTAAGAAGCACACCTCACAACTACTCTGTGATGTTAATATAATTATTACTGTTTTTATTTTATTGATAGAGAACTGAGGATCAAAAAGGGGAAGTGATTGGCCCAGGGCTACATGGCTAATGAGTGGCAAAGTTAGGACTTGAACCCAGACCTCCTGATTCCAAATTCAGTGTTCCATTGCCCAATCAATGTTCACGGTGTGAACAAGAGTCCCAAAGATCGTTCTTCCCATTTCACAGCCGGTGAAAACTGAGGACCAGAGCAGCAAAGTAATTTGCCTCAGATGACCTCTCTAGCATGGTACCTCCTCCTCAGTCCCAACTCTCCTTTCAGTTGGAGCTGTAGCCTTAGTGTACCGTGATCACTGGGGGCTTTGTACCATGGTTTAATGACCAACTGGAGTTATTATGGACTGGCCTGACGTTGATGAACAACTCAGCTAACTGCTGACAGCAGATTCAGGAACGCCATGGGAGTGCTTTCTTCTTCCTTCCCCCCAGTGACTGGACATGAGAAGGAAATCCCAGAGGCTGCAAAGTATCTGCTGCTTCTCTGGAAACATGTGAGCTATGGTAGTGATGGGTGCTTGTTGTCTTTGGGTACCTCTCGTGGAACAGGGAAAGTGAGGTGAACTTCCCCTAGGTCAGGGCTCAGACAGCCCCATCTGACATTGGCAGAAGTAGGGAAGGAGAGGCGGAGGTCTCCTCCTCCTCCACATCAGCCCATGGGGCTCTGCTCATACATGTTGATATGCCCTGTAATTATTTCTGAGGCCCTATTAGCTCAGAATTTCTGCACCCAGCCCTGGCACTAGAGCTAGTCTAGGATGAAATCCTAATCTTAACCCTGTGGACACCTTGGAGAACCAGTTTACAACAGATTATATTAAAATCTACTCTCATTTAGCATCTATCATATTCAGAAAATCCTAGGTTTTGCAAAACACCACTTTAATGATCATCTAAAACCCTTTTGTTTGTTTTTTATTTTTTGCTTTTTGGTTAGGCAATGGGGTTAAGTTAAAAACCCTTTGTTTGGGTGATGCCACAGGAGGAAGGGTCTTTGCTCTCAGACAAGCTCTGGAAGGTAAGAGGCAGGGATGAGAGATGTTAGTGAGCTGGGCCAGATGTCAGGAAGTTTGCCCAGCACCTACAGAGGTATTTGTTTCTGAGTTTGCAGGGGCTAGTGTTTGCTAGGTCTTGTTAGGGGCATAGTCTGGTTAGGAGGGACTGTGTTCGCTAGATCCTTTTCTCACCCCTCCTCTAGCTTTACTATTGACGTTTGTGACCTTAGACAGAGGATCATAGGCCTCTACTTCTCCAGGGATAACCTGGGATCGATTCTCCTTCATTATCTATTCATGCTGGGTCAAAACAACAGGTTTGGTGGCCAACTTCCTTATACAGGAGGAATTCCTCAGAACTTCTCCCCTAATCCTTTACTTGTTTCACTCTAGGGTGAGACCTGTTATTTTATTTGATTCAAGTGAGACAAAGGCCAGGAGCTGGAGCTTGCCTGGGCCATTTAACTTTATTCTTTATGGCTGCAACTAGGTAGCTAGCTTGCTCAAGGAGGCCAGGAAAGAGAGTGTAGATATTGCTGCTACCAGAGGCAGCGAGGTGCATAGAGCTCTGGACTTGGAATCAGGAAGACCGGAGTTCAAATCTGGCTCCAAACTTTACTAGCTTTGTGACCCTGGACAAATTTAACTTCTGTTTGCCTCACTTTCCTCAGCTGTAAAAAAAAAAATAGAAACAATAGTAGCACCTGCCTCCCAAAGGTGTTTTGAGGATCAAATGAGATAATATTCACAAAAAGTGCTTAGCATGGCGCCTGGCACAGAGAAGGCTCTATAGAAATGCTTGTTCCAATACTCTTCTTTAACCAGAACCATAAAAACCTACCAGAGACTCCAGGTATCAACTTGTTCCTGGGTCCTGACTAGGACAGACTGCTGAGATCCTGCCCTTGGGAAGTCAAGTATCCCATGTTCACTTGGAAGCAGTGATGATGGATGGAGGCTTGCCAGAATGCCACCTTGGAGGGAGATGTGTGGCTTCTGGCTGGACTGACACTGGTGATAAGACATGCTCACGAGAACTCCGAGAATAATTCTGACCACAGGAATTGGGTTGTTGTTTGTTCCCAGTGGGGATGATTGTATTGTCAAACAGTCAATAACATTTGATTGGATGCATCGATAAATGTAAATCTTAGTAGTGTAAGATCAGCCCTAATAAGCATTTCTTGTAGTTCAGTCATGTCTGACTCTTCTTGACCCTGTGGTGCCCATGGCTGTTTTCATGGGCAAAGATACTGGAGGGGTTGGACATTTCCTATTCCAGTGGATTAAGTCAAAGAGGTTAAATGACTTGCCCAGGGTCACACAGGTAATGAGTGTCTGAGGCCAGATTTGAAATTGTCTTCCTAACTCTAAGCCCAATGCTCTAGCCATTGAGCCATCTAGCTGCCCCTGAGCATATGCAATGGATTATTTTCTTATTTTTTTATTTTTCTTTTTTCTCTTTTATTTATTTTTTTAGGCAATTGGGGTTAAGTGACTTGCCCAGGGTCACACAGCTAATAAGTGCCACGCATTTGTTCTGAGGCTGGATTTGAACTCAGGTCCTCCTGACTTCAGGGCCGGTGCTCTATCCACTGCACCACCTAGCTGCCCCAGCATATGCAATGGTAAATTGGTTTTATACATGTACATTATCTTGGACGAGTCACTTAACTTTTTAGCCTAGGTTTCCCCATCTGTAAAATAGAGATAATAGCACCTTCTTTACAGGGTTACTATGAGGACCAAATTTTAAAAGTTTTTTGTAAAATGCTTTGCAAATCTTAAGGTACTATATAAATGATGGATATTAGAAAATCATATCCTTTTTTGACAGAGGGTCGGGAACATATTCTTTGTGTATATATAAAACACAGTCACTCTTCTCTTTCCCCAAAACCTAGATCAAGGCTCTGTCCCTTTAATGGATGCTCAGTTCATGAGACTGACTGACAGATTATGAAGTTTATTTCCTGCCTATGGGCCTTGTTTGTCAGTGAGGAGAGCACTGCAGGTTTTGCGCCAGAAATGATTATTTGGTAATGCCATGGAATGATGTGAAAGAAAAGGTGATTATTTCTTTCTTCCCACCCTCCTCTGGCTCCCAAACAGCCTTCCTCTAGTGGTAACATGTACCAGGGAATTATTATTATTATTATTACTATTTCCATCTAAGATATAATTATAACAGCTTCAAATGCAAAGCCTCATATCTTTGGCACTGTTGAGGAGCTCAGGCCATGTAATTACTGCACCTTCTCTTCCCCTCCACCTTTCCATCATCCCACGTGTCTAACCATTTCTCAAACCAAAGAAGTCTCTATTGCCCTTACGCTGCCTGGGGGATGGTTCTCCCCTTCTTGGAAATTAGAGGCCCCATCCCCACACATCTCCATCTAGAAAAGAAACATAAGTAGCTCTTGCATCCCACCGTCGGCAGCACCAAGCTGAGTTTGAGAGGAGCTCATTACCCTATTTTTGCACCCAGGGCAATGGCCAGGCAGGGCTGTCCATCTTGACCCAAGGAGAAAGTTAAAAGCAAGGGGTGGGGGTAGTGGCTTTCAGGTTGTGGGGGGAACTGAGAAGCCCAGTGGTTTGACCTGTGTCCCTCCCCCAGCATACGCGCCCAAACCCCCCTGGCCCTTTCTGAGGCCCCAACACAATTCAGTGACAAGCATGGCTATCTCAGGGAATGATGACTCAGCCAGGATGAGAACAGCAATATTTGCTCTGGCTGGGCGGCTGTGCTCAGTGTTTTTCTAGTAGTTGCCTGGTGGGGGAGGGAAGGAAACAAAGGAACTCCTTGGTCAATCATTCTGTGCAGCTGGAAGCCTGAGCCCTGAGGTCTGAGGAGATAAAGCACAATTCTCCTAACCCAGAGCCCTGCAGCCCAGAGATACAGGTGGCCTTTCCCTCCTGGTGCCTTCAGGGGCCTCGAGAAGACAAACGCTAAGCAGGGCCTGTCAGCCTTTTCTCAGGAACATTCCCTGAGAATCCCTCTCTTGCTCAATAAATAAAAAAACCCTCTCCAGCGCTTACTTATTGACTTGAAGAACAAGTGACGGGGGAAGTCAAGGAATGACACCTGAGAGAAAACCAAGTTATTTCAAAGTGCACCAGGAGATTATAGAGAGATGCATGAACTTTTCTCTAAGTAGCAGTTGTGCAAATTGTCCTACGGCCACCTCTTTTAAAGCCTTGGAAGTCACCGCCTTTCCTCTGCCCCATATTTCTTTTCCCTATTCTTCATGATCTCTTTGGACGACTGCTCCCTTACTGCCACTCCCGCCTTGCCTTGAGCACAAGGATGTCCCTCTTGGTTTTTCAATCAAATTAGTAGAGTGGACATTGTGTCTCGTTTTTCCTGTGGATTCAGAGGTCAGCAGACATGTGGGTGCAAAACAAGGCAACTTTGGTGAAGCAAAAGAACCTGGGGTTGCTGGGTCTTGATGGAGGCTGGCCTGAAGGGCAATATATGAATATGAGCCAGTATTTGTAATGTAGTCATTTGTACATTCATATCACATTATGTTACTCTACTGTATTATGAATTTCTATTCATATATGTTGGGATGCTTGTTGGATGGCACCTGGCTACCTTCTAACTGTTTCCCCTTTCACAGTATTAATAATGAGGCAGGAAGTGAAATTTTGCTTTGAATGCCGTCAAACAAGCATTGATTAAGCACTTACTGTGTGCCAAGCTTTGTGCTAAGCTATACAGATACAAAGGCAAAATAACAACAGTCACTCCTGTGAAGGAGCTCATAGTCTAGCCAGGGGTGGGGAACCTGCAGCCTCGAGGCCACATGTGGCCCTCTAGGTCCTCATGTGTGGCCCTTTGACTGAATCCAAACTTCACAGAACAAATCCCCTTAATAAAAGGAATTCCCTTTAATAAAAGGATTTGTTCTGTTAAATGTGGACTCAGTCAAAAGGCTGCACCCAAGGACTAGAGGGCCATGTATGGCCTCGAGGCCGCAGGCTCCCCACCACTGAATGTCATAGCTAGACAGAGGCCTAACTAGCTATTTCTGCCAGAGTACTAATTTCAGCATTGCTTCCTCCCTTTTTCTTGTTCAATTGTTTTCTAATCAGGTCTTGACTCTTCGTGACCCCATTTGGGGTTTTCTTGGCAAAGACACTGCAGTGGTTTGCCATTTCCTTCTCCAGCTCATTTTCCAGATGAGGAAACAGAAGCCAACATGACCTGCCCAAGTTCACACAGCTAGTAAGTGTCTGAGGCCAGATTTGAACTCAGGAAGATGAGTCTTCCTGACTCCAGGCCTGCGCTCTATCCACTGAGCCAGCTATCTGCCATCATCCCCTTTACCACCAACTATATATTCCTGTTCCCCTCTGACTCCTCATCCCAATACATAAATGCACATAAGCTCACATACCTACACATGACCTTTCTATCCTTAGCAGGAGAGGGGCTTTGGGAGCAGAAAGTCTGCTTTGTGCCCCTCTTTGGAAGGCTTTTGATAGAGGCATCCTCATCATACTCTGTACACCACTCCAGCTTACCAGACTTCTGGCCTGGGACAATGGGGATAGCATTCTGGACCTGCTGGCATTTGCAGATTGATTTCAAATGGCAAAATCCCAGGTGCCTTACTTGAAGGCCACAGACCAACACTTTGGACAAATGGATCTCCTGCCCAGTGGCTACTGCCATCCTCTCCAGGGCTGCCTCATCACCTGTCACCTTGATATCCTAGCTTACCTTTTCCTACTAGTTTTGCTCTTCATTCCCAAATTCCTTCATACAAACAACCCTCAATTTAGCAGCTGCCTGTGGTAGGTATTAATGAATGATAAACAATTTCACAACTTTTTTTTTTCCCTAAAGGTTTTATAGATGTGGGTATTCTCTCCACCAATGAAGATTATCACTCTTCCTGTCACTTAGCAAATGGTCTTTGTGAACTGCTGTGGCTGAAAAATTCCTTCCCCTGCAATCAATGTAGTGATAAGCCTGTCCAAACTCAGCTAGGTTAGTTCTCTAACAGACATAATCTTTCCATAGGCTCATACTCCAAATTTTACCCACATGGTAGGTAGGACCTATCTTTATAGTATATATTCCACTGACATAGCATTTGAGAACTTAGGGACAATATGTCATCATGATGCATTAGCATAGGACTTATCAATGTCCGTTTCAAATATGATGCCCAGGATTGAAACCAATATTCCAGACATAGTCTAACCAACTTGGAGGTTAGTGGGACTATTGCCTCTCTTGTCCTAGATGCTGTAAGCCTATTCTCTGGTCATCTCCATTGCCCCAGCATCTGCCTAGTTCATGTGCATGCACACGCACACACATACATGTACATATAACCATGTCTAAATACAATAGAAACATATCAACAAGTTCATAATTTATAGCAATTACACAGAGTGAGGTATGTAAACTAAAGACAACACTGACTTTTGGAAAGGATGTTTCTAAGTCAGAGACTTCAGTGGGGATTCTGAGATGCTTTTCCCCTTCCAGCCTCAACTAGCAAGTTTATCTTCATCTTCTGCTCATGGTTATTCAGACAAATACCATAGAGTGAGAAGTCATTGTATACAGAGCCCTGTACAAAGTGTGATAGAGAGATACAGAAGAAGGAGATATGGCTCCTGTCCTTGGGCCTAATAAGAGAGACAGAATACACACATGAAAAGAGGGCCTAACTACTTAGAAAAATATACCTAAGAGGGGCAGCTAGGTGGCACAGTAGATAGAGCACCGGCCCTGAAGTCAGGAGTACCTCAGATCAAACACTTGACACTTACTAGCTGTGTGACCCTGGGCAAGTCACTTAACCCCAATTGCCTAAAAAAGCAAAAAAATACATACATATATATATATATATATATATATATATATGTATGTATGTATGTATGTATGTATGTATGTATATATACACACACCTAACTATATAATACTAGTGCGTACTCTAGCAAGTATTATGCAACATCATGTATAGTAAAGATTAGGATCTGAATGCAATTATTTGTTTTATCAAGGTCTTCTACTTTAATTATATTCAATTCATAGATAAAAATAAAAACCTCTGTATTTCTATACTTAGGTTTGAATTAACAAAGTTTTAAGTTCATTCTAGGAATCTAGGCCCAGCCAACACTTTTATTTATCAGAGAGTAGTAATTAAGACTAGGAGCCTTTGGTTACAGTGAATGGAGAAATTTTGAATACTATGGATAAGGTCGCTTACCTTGGCAGTATACTTTCCAAGGGTGTATATGCAGATGATGAGGTTGATGCACGCATGGCCAAAGCCAGCTCAGCGTTTGGGAGGCTCTGAAGGAAAATGTGGGAGAGAAGAGGCATTAAACTGACTACCAAACTGAAGAGCCATTGTGCTGACCTCATTGTTGTATGCCTGTGAGACCTGGACAGTATACCAGCACCATGCCAGGAAACTGAATCGCTTCCATTTGAATCATCCTAGGAAGATTTGAAGATCACCTGGCAAGATAAGGTACCAGACACTGAGGTCCTCTATAGAGCTGAACTGCCAAGCATTCAAACTCTATTGCAGAGAACACAACTCTGATGGGCTGGCCACGTTGTTCGAGTGCTACTTTGCCTAAAAGACTATTTTATGGAGAACTCACACAAGGCAGGCATTCACATGGAGCTCAGAAGAAGCAGTACGAGGACACTCTCAAGGTATCTCTGAAGAGCTTTAGTATTTATTGTGAGGTATGGGAGACACTAGCACAAGCCCATCCATCATAGTGTACCTGCATCATAGAAGGCCCTGTGCTTTACAAGCAAAGCAGAATTACACTAACACAAAGGAAATGCACAAATCTACAGACATCTCCATCCCAAATGTTCTGATGGACTCTTTGTGTCCGACCAGCAGAAGAGCCTTCTGTGCTCATACTGAGCTGATCAGTCACAGTCAGACACACTGTATCCTGACACTAAATCGTGATATCACAGGTCCTCTTCCAGTACAAAGGACAATAACAACATTGAACAAAGGATAAGCTCTGAACAAAGAAAGGTAAGCTTAAACACACTTCATGAATTTACTAATTGTTCTTCCCTACATTGAGCATTAGTCAGTGTTGTCTTTAGTTTACATACCTCACTCTGTGTAATTGCTATAAATTATGAACTTGTTGATATGTTTCTATTGTATTTAGACATGGTTATATGTACATGTATGTGTGTGCGTGTGCATGCACATGAACTAGGCAGATGCTGGGGCAATGGAGATGACCAGAGAATAGGCTTACAGCATCTAGGACAAGAGAGGCAATAGTCCCACTAACCTCCAAGTTGGTTAGACTATGTCTGGAATATTGGTTTCAATCCTGGGCATCATATTTGAAACGGACATTGATAAGTCCTATGCTAATGCATCATGATGACATATTGTCCCTAAGTTCTCAAATGCTATGTCAGTGGAATATATACTATAAAGATAGGTCCTACCTACCATGTGGGTAAAATTTGGAGTATGAGCCTATGGAAAGATTATGTCTGTTAGAGAACTAACCTAGCTGAGTTTGGACAGGCTTATCACTACATTGATTGCAGGGGAAGGAATTTTTCAGCCACAGCAGTTCACAAAGACCATTTGCTAAGTGACAGGAAGAGTGATAATCTTCATTGGTGGAGAGAATACCCACATCTATAAAATGACAGATCCTCCGAGTACTGAAATATTGACAAGTTGAAGGGAGTTAGGAAGAGAGAGAACCAAATGGTAAGAGGACTAGAAACCATGTCACGTGGGGATTGGTTGAAAGAAATGGGAATATTTAATTTAGAGAAGATAACTTGGTGGTTGTATGGGGAAGATATTATCATCCTCTTTAAATGGGGGGAGGGCATGTGGCATTATACAAAGTGCATTGGACCTGGTATTGGGAATCCTGGGTTAAAGTCTTAGTTCTGACACTTAATAGCTATGTGATTACTTGCTGTCTTGGAGCTTGGTTTCTTAATTGATAAAATGAGGACAAGAACATTTGCACTACCAACTCACAGGGCGCCTATGAGAAAGGCCTTTGATAAACCTTAAAATGCTATCCGAATGAGAGTTGTTATTATCATTTCAAAAGTTTGAAGGGCTGTCATTTGGAAGGGTAACAGACTTACGCCATGTTGTTCTTGAGGGCGTAACTAAGACCGATGGGTGGAAGTTACTCAAATAGTTCTATAAGCTTATAAATTCAGGAAATCAAAACCCCACCATGCTTGCCTTCCTGTACAACTCTCATCCATGTCTTTGTAAAACTTCACCATGGAGGGTCCATCCAATGTCCTAGAGGCCTCTCTTGATTTCTCCTAATGTCACTGGGTATCACTAGCACATCTAGGCCATTCACCTTCTTCCATCCCTCTTAACACTTTTCCAGTCCATCTTTTATTTTTAATCATACAATTCTATGATAATTCTATAATTCTAAGATAATCATGAACTGCTCATGATTCTATCTTTTATTCCAATTCTTCTTCATAGTCCATCATTGGTTATATGCTACCACATGCTCACAACCACCATGCACCTTCCCACTGCCCTCTGTGTGATGCATGTATTTAGTCTTTCAGAGGCAGTGATGTTCCAGGTTTCAGTGACATAAAGCAACACTGGCAAGGTATTTTGTTGATAAGATAGACCTTTGCCATCTTAGGAAGCTTGGGCTCAGTAGTCATTTAGGTGGCAAAGTGGATAGAGCATTGACCATAAGATATATGTAAAGTGCTTTGTAAACCTCAAAGTGTTACATAAATGCAAGCTATTATTAAAAATGCTTTGCAACTTCCTGAGGGTAATGCAACTACTCTTTCTCCTTTTCAACTCTGGGTCTAGCTCATTGTCTCTTTGTGTTGTCTGTCCCAGATAAACAAAATCCAGTACGCAAGCTTTCTCTGGTGTCCATTCAGAAGCATCTTGAAGTCTGGACGATAGATAGTCTTCATCCATTTGGTCATTCCTGTGTGGAGCGACAGGTCAGACTCCTTTGAACAACAAACATCTCTTCCAGGAGGCTCTTCATTGTTTTGGGCTTCATGCAATCAACATAAAACTGTATATAAACAGGAGTATCTAGAAGACATTAACATCCACTGGGAATCCCTCTTTGACCTGAAAACTAACCTGGATCCCCTTGATCACAGTGGTGAATACTTTTGGTGAACATACATCTTCCTCTTTTATGCCTCGTTGGACATATATTCCAAAGAATCTTGAATCTTGACAAATGGATATGAGATACTGGCTGTAAAAGAGTCTGTGAGGTGGGGTTTCGTTTTACTAAAATGAAAGCTTTTTCGTCATCAACAAACAATGATCACAATGGGGTAACGTATTCTCTACATCTTTCAGTCTAATTGTGAGATGGCAAAAATTCTGTCATTGTTGAATCTCTTTTGTGAAAGCCTACTGGTTCCTTACTAATTCCCTAATCGAGGATATTATCAATTTGTATGTAGATGAGTCTCATAAAGTTTTTGTACAAGGGAAGCGTGGGTACATGAGTCACTAGTTGTTCATCTTTTCTTGGTCACCGTGTTTTGTTATCAGTAAGATATGAGATTTTTTTTTCCTTGTAATTTGGTCCCTCAGTTCAACCTCCAAAATGGATCTCTTCTATATATTTGATTCAATCTGGTTGCTTTTTCTGTCTTTGTTCTCGTAATGCCATTTCTATTTCTATAAGCACTTCAGGGAGTGTGATGTTAGGGTTCAAAGGTGGTGGTACCACTAACCTTGATGTAGAAAACAGTTGGTTGGAAGTTGGAAGTTACACAGATGTAATTCTTAGCTCAATGGGTTTATTGCGGAGAAGAGAATATATGGGGAGATTATGATAGCTGTCTTGAAGTTTTTGAAGGAACACATTCAAGAGGCATTCTCCAGCCTAGTCCCAGAAGGCTGAACTTAGAACAATGGATTGAAATTACAAAGAAGCAAATTTACCTCCAACATAAAAGACTTCAGAACACTTAGAGTTGCCTTAAAGTGGAATGGGTTACCCCAGGAAGTAGTGGGCTTTCTTTCACTAGAGGTTTTCATGGGGACACTAGATAACCACTTGTCAAAGATATCATAGAAGGGATTCTTGTTTGGGTATGGTTGGACTTGACAACTTCTGAAGTCCCTTCCAGCTCTGAGACTGTGGGGATAGATTTGTTATTAATAGAATTGTCTATAAATGGAAACGATGACTTTGCAAAGAGGTGAATTCTTATCACTGGAAGTCTTCAAGCAGAGATTAGATGATTACTCATTAAGAGTCTTGTAGCAGAGATTTCTATGCTGGTTGAGAGGCTGAATTAGATGATTTTTGAGATTCTCTTCTAACTCTAGGAGTTTATGACTCCATAGTTCCATTTCTTCTTGGGTCCTTCTGTAAAATGGAATAATTGAACTAGATCATCTCTAAGATCTCTTCTGGCTCTGAGTCTATGATCTTATGATGTGCAGATGGAGAGCTTTACAGGGGAGCTGAAAACTGAAGTGAGTCATTCACACTTCACTGTACTTACCCATCCCCCTTTTTACCCATTCACTTTCCAAATACAGAGCAAGGTAACCATTAATTCTTCTTTTATAAGCAGGTAGGGAGCTGCTTGTGACCTTTGCCTCTGCTGTCTCTGACTCCTCTGTTCCACCTAATAGGTCTGTAAATCCAGGTGAGTTTTGTAACAGTAATCACAATAATAATGGCTCGGAAGATCCATGTGACCTTGAAAGGAAGACTCTAAGGCTGCTTTCTTTGTCTCCTCCTTCCCTGTCCCTCAAATTCTAATTCCAGAGCTGGGCCCAGAAAACAAGAGACACATGGACCTTGAAAGGAAACTGTCACGTTTGGCTTTTTCCATGTGGGCAGAGAGGAAGCAGAAGTAGCCTGAGTCCCTCTCATTGTGGGGCTATGTCGTAGGCAGACTGATTGTTCCACCCAAGGGGAATCCACCCTTTTCCTACTTTTTTTCCTCAAAGCAACATGACTGACGGTTCAGCAAGAATTTCAGAACTATAATAAATAGAAAAGAAGATGAACCTTTTCATCCTTAGCTTCATTTTGGCTGGGATTAGGGTCTGGCTCTGCTGGGTTTAGGCACCTAGTTGGGGAGGGAGAGGCTTGTTAAAAATACCCAGCAAAAGAAGCCTATGAGCCTATGAAACAAAGATCCTCATTAACAACGAGGCCTAAAGAGCCAAAGCAGAAGGTATGAATGGGGAGAGGTTAGGGGATGGTTACAGGGGAGGGAGAGGAGGAGGATCTGAGAGAACTCTTGCTAATAAGTCTCTGGACAAGGCAAACAAGCAACACAGTCAAAGAAGGAATATCTCTGATAGGCTACAGTCTGATGGTTCTGGTGACCTGAGGAGACACTAACAGTCTTATCAAAGGCTTCTTCATTTTGCCTGCTCACCTTGGATTCCCTGGGGGCATGTTACCAGGCATAATGACCTTTGGCTGTATACAGGGAAAAACTCAACTAGTGGCTTTGTGGGGCCAAGTACAGTGATCAGCACCCAGCCTCACAGGCCTGGGGCCTCACAGTACTGGTGCTGCTGGAGTTTCAAACTTTACAGGATTTCTTGTCACACCCTCATTAGAGGAAGATGGTGCTCCTGATGCCCTGACAGGTCATGTGCACTACTTTGAGTTGTAGTCCTAAGCTATCATGCTGGCCCTAGC